TCAGGTGGCCACAGTGGGAATTCTTTGCAATATAAAGGAGGTCAGGCAGGAAGACCAAAATGATACCTTCTGGCTCAGCGCGCGCGGGGTCTGTGTAATGACTGGGTTCAGGCTGTTTCTCCCAAAGTCTGTTAGGATAATTAAGGCTCTGGCTGTATGCTGCACATGACGCTGCTATCTGTCGAGGCTGCCAACCAACGATCTCTGAAGCAAGCATTTTGTCACCCTTGCAAGTAATGTTTGTTTCACTGCCCAATTTGAAAATGTTTTCGGTTTTGGTGTTTTGATTCGGTTTCACTAACAGGAAAAACTTCCTTTGCTCACTGATGGTGTGGCTCCTTGGATTCCATATGTAAAGCTTGGAATTTAATGGACTCTCATATATGAAAGAATGCATTAACTACAGGTCAGCAAAGTCTATTTATTGTGTTGCTTTAGCACACAGAGCTATTATTACCCTGTTGCTTTTAAGGTAGCCTGCTTAAAGGTAATTATTTGGTCTATCCAAAGCCGCGCAGAATGCCCACACAACCTCTGCTTGTTTGCATTGATGATGCAGTACAGAGTCACAGCTCAATGGTAACCTCAGTTCACTCTCGGGATAGCTGACTTAGGGAATGAAGAGGTTTTGTTAATGTTCTTTTTCACTTGTCAAGGATTGTCATGTGGTTTCCCTGGACTTGTCATTAGTTCAAAAAAGATCTTCAGAAAAGATTTTTTTCAATTCCCCTTTAGGATTGAAATTCCAGAGTGTTCTATAACAAGCGTAGAAACCATGAGCCTGAATCTATTTTTACTCTTTGACACAATCCCACGTATTTTCCCACGATAATATTTGTAATCAGTGTGGGAATTCATATCAGGGTTGAGCCACGAATTGTGTAAAATGCCTTTTTTTCCTCTTAGGATGGAAAAGCAAAGAACACATCAGGGATGGCCTTGTTTCACAGTGAGCCAGGAGGGGAATTCCAGTACTGACTCATTACAAACAATAATTGGCCTGGTACAACCTCTGAAAGCTCTGCTCTTCTCGAGTATCTCTGTGGGCCTGCAGAACTGATGGTGCCCAAAATTTTGGGAAGTGGAAGTCTCAATGCTTTTAGAAAGTTGATCCTACCTGACGTGTCCATCGTCAGTCTTGAGCATCTGTGGTAGAATCAACAAGTGAATCCAAGTCATCAAACTTCCTCCCAATTAAAAGGTAATTGGTGGCATCCTGGCCTTTCAGGCACCAGACTGTTCCTCATAAAATATTCAAAAGCCTTGCAGTTACCCGAAGAGGAAGATGAGGAGGGAGGTATTTTTCCAGCCGATGGACATGGCGTGTAATTACTGTAGGCACATCCTGATTCTTTGTCTGTATTGCTCATCGCTGTTATGTCTAAGAATTCCTTGATATTCAAAGAGTGCCCTAACCAAGTCAGGTTTCATAATATGATTACATTATGAAATTATATTTCACGCCTGTATATTATAGTGTGCACACATACACTTTCATCATGTATCGGAGTGTAGTTTGCTCTTCTCTGATACCATGCACCAGAGGATGTCTACAAATGGAATTATTTCAGGCTAGTTATCCTAAATAACTCTATGTAGGGAAACCTGTATTGTAGCACAAAAGCACCTTACTCTCCTTTATCATAATCCATTTTAAACATGGATTATGCTGATGCAGAACAGGGCACTCCTATTTTGGAATCATTTTAAATAGGAGTAGTTTTTGTGCTTTCGGCTCACACCCTGCATTATCCAAAATAGCTTTGAAGTGTAAACGAGCCTCTAATGTGTCTGTAGTATTTCCATTCTGCTGCCTGGCTCCTCCTTGTTCCCTGGCTCTTCCTTTGGGAAGGTCCAGAGCAAAACCAGACCTGCAGAGCCTGGCATTTAGGTCTTTGCTTTCACAAACTTCATACCAAGGGACATTTCCAATCCGATTCCCAAATTAAATGCATCCCTGAGCATTTGAAGGGTGTATTTAGATGCAAGTTTCTGACTCTGAGCCATCCCCACGAACTATATTAGTACATAAAATGTTTCCTTTCACGCTTTTGTGAAAGGGAGAAGGGGCTTTGTATTTCTAACCTCCTGTGGTCGCTTTTGGGACAGTTTGTGGTGTCTTCTCTTATCATCAGCCTATTTATTCTGCAACCTCCAGACAAAACTGATGGGTACAACTCTGAGAAAGGTCCAACAGAAGGAGTGCTGTAAAGACCCAGACCCACGTCCATCTGCCCAGTCTCTAGCTGTGACGGGCAATGTAGGACAGACTGCAAACGTGCTCTCTAGGATCGGCCCTCTTCCATTGCGTCAAAAGCCGCTTATGCGTCTGCTTCCGTGGAATGCCACGGCTTCTTACGTGTCTTCTGTTCATTTATTTAAACCTGCATCCTGACTATTTCATTTGATGTCCTGCCTCTAGTTCTAGTGTCATCATTCCCTGTTTGTACTCTTCTATACCCCTGTTTTCCACGCCTCTGTCATAAACTGCTCGTGTCCTTGACAAGTGGAACAGCTCTCATCCCTTGCTCTTCCCACGCGCAGAGGTCGGCTCCCACCTGAGACCTCCCTGGCTGCTTTTCTCCATGGCTGTACCAGCTGGGCTGGCCAGATCTGCCAGGCATTCAGGGTAGAGGAATACCATGCAAGCGCGTGTATGCCATGCGGTATAATCTGTTTTCTGGTTTGTTAATCCTTTTCCAACAGTTCCCATCGTTTTGTTTGTATTTCCAAACTCCTGTGAGTATGAGGTGGCTGTTTTCAGACTCCTATCCTTAATACTGCCACAAACCTAGCAGCTAATTTAGAGCTTCATTGCATATAGATTGGTAGGGTTATTTTATCTGCTAATTTATCGCTCATCATCTTGCTATCGTGAGGTCTTTCTGCACCTCTCCAGACGGGTTTAGATTTGACTATCCTGAGTAGGTGTCCCGGTTTCGGCTGGGATAGAGTTAATTTTCTTCCTAGTAGCAGGCACAGTGCTGTGGTTTGGATTTAGGATGAGAAGAATGCTGATAACACGCTGATGGTTTAGTTGCTGCTCAGTGCTGCTCATGCCAGTCAAGGGCTTTTCAGCTTCCCCTGCTCTGCCAGGGGCACAAGGAGCTGGGAGGGGGCACAGCCAGGAGAGTTGATCCCAACTGCCCCAAGGGCCATTCCATACCATACGGCGTCATGGGCAGTATGGAAACTGGGGGGGTTGGCCGGGGAGCAGCGATCGCTGCTCGGGAACTGGCTGGGCATCAGTCGGCAGGTGGTGAGCAATTGCTTTGTGCATCACTTGCTTTGGATATTATTATTACTGTTATTATTATATTGTTGTTATTATTATTTTACTTTATTTCAATTATTAAACTGCTCTTAGCCCAGGAGTGTTTCTCACTCTCACTCCTCCGATTCTCTCCCCCATCCCACCGGGGCAGGGGGGTGAGCGATGGCTGCGTGGTGCTGAGCTGCTGCTGGGGCTGAACCCCGACAGGAGTTGTTGAAACATCCGCCAACGCGCCATTTCACTGTTCACCTCCAGCGTCCCCGAGGCGCCGGCCGGCTCGGCTGCGATGGCTTGCGAGATCAGGGCATTAACGCCAGCTCCCCTCGTTCTCTGAGCTCTCTATTTGTGACTGCACAGATCAGTCAGACGTCGGCCATGAAACCGGAGGATATCATTTCTTAACACTATATAATGTTTCAAGATACAACCACAGAGGCAGAAGGATCCTTGTTCACAAAGACGATGGAGGTGCTTTCTTCAAATAAAAAGAGGTTTATTAAGATAATGAGAATGACATTGTGGTGTGGGTGTTGTACATCTATTGCAGCATTAAGAGAAACAACAGCAAGTACAAAATCCTGCAGAACTTCTATAGTCATTATCATCACAGCCTATCTTGTCCATGCTACAGTTTTGTGTATCCAAAACTTCATTCCCATTTCTAATGGCAGGAAATCCAAAGACTTTCATCTTTAAAAAAAAAAAAAAAAAAAAAAAGAAAAAAAAAGGCAAAACAAACAAAAAAACCCCCAACTCAATTTGATATAAATAACTTGCACTGGACATTTTAAAACTTTCAGATTTTAATTACACATAAATAAATATATACAGATTTAGAACAGTTCAGTTTGGCCTGGTTCAAGTTCTGCTCCTTGTGCTTTATTAATTATTATTAATTTTAGAAACTGGTGTGCTGTTATCTGTAGGTTGTGGAGTTTTAAGTAGTCCTGGGTTTAACTTAACCCGCTTGATCCCCAGCGGCGACCAGAGCAGTCGGGAAGGCTCGATCGGCTCCTGCCCTGGGAACCATCGGCTGTGCGGCTTGTTCCTCCGCTCGCGGCACGGCGCGGGGATCCTCAGCCCCCGGGAAAATCCACGCCGAGTCTCGGTTCGAAAACTGTAAACGAAGTCTGAAGCGGCTTTAAATCCAAAGCAGTTCCGCTGGCAATTTTCTCATGGGCTGGCTTTAGGACTGGGCTGGCGGTGGGGAAGGAGGGAGGCTTCCTGCGTGGCTGCCGGTCAGAACCAGCGGCTGCATCCAGGTACAGCCAGCGAGCCGGCTCCCTGCCCTCGCTGCTCCTGCCTCTGGTTCTTGCGTTCATGAGGCTTTTGTTCCCCCTCCTCGGTTTTTCAGCTGGAACAAATTCCGGGAGCATGTCAGGATTTCACTACGGGTTTTTTTTAAAAAACAAAACAAAATTGCCCATGACTTGGTTTCCTGCACCCCAAAAAAAAAAAAAAAAAAAAAAAAAAATGCAAACCCCAAAAGCCATCAACCTCTCTTATTTTCTCAATCTGACTACGTCCATTAGAGTTGTTTTCTTCTTAAATTCTTTAAATCTTCTTTTTCTGTCTTTTCTGTGTTTGCTTTACGAGTTTCATCCCAAGTTCAAACGTAGCAGTTCAGAAAAGGGCGCACCGGGTCGCCTGTCCCCCGCAGCGCTGTCGAGCCTTCCCCTCGCGACCGGGGAAAGCTCCCGCCGGGGAGAGGGAGGGAGGCAGCGCGTTATTTCCGATGCTTCGCTTCTTTTTCTGAGGCTTTGGAGTCTCCGGCTGTGTGCCCGTTCCCTGTGCTGTTCATGAACATTTTATCCAGCCCCTTAAGGGACTCCACCAGGTAGTTCTGGAAGGCCGTGAGCGCTGCGCAGATGGCCGGGCCCCCAAAGCCGTGGGTTATCAAGCTGAAATGAGTCAAACAGCTCTGGACACCGGGCTCTAAGATGAGCGAGGGGCGGCTGTTCCCCAGCGGCGAGCGATCCTGGGCTATCAGGTCTGCAAACTCTTTACAAATTTGCCTGAAACGGAGAGGTTTGTGTTACTGCAAGTGCCGTCGGGAAGCCGCAGGGACGTCGGTGTGTTTGAGGGCTCTTTTCCCGCTCCCCGCCCCCGCGGCTGCATCCCCCCCCGGATTTCAGCCCCAGCCCGGGGAAAGCCCCTGCATGCGGAGGTGGAGCTGGTGCGGCCCTTTAAGCAATGCCACAGAGTTTAAAGCCTTCAGTGCTCTTAAAGAATTAAAGAATTCTTTCCGATCGCTCTCTGTAACACTAACGTTATGAGAGGAAGATTCTTGTTAAAAATTCTCCTGCCATTCAACAAGGTCCCAAATGAGCCGAAATGCTCCCTGGGGGTGGGTTAACCTCTCCCATGTAGGAGCAAGCCCTTCAATCCATGCAAATTATTCATCTCGCTGCACGCTTTTCAGACCTGCGTGCGGCGTGTGAGGCCGCCTCCCGCCCGCAGAAGGGCTAACGCTGCCCTTGCAGGCTGCGGGTGCCGAGCGCAGCGGTGGCTCGTGGCCATCTCGACTCACTTGGTAGCCAGCAGCATGTTTTTCCTGGTGTGGAGCTCCGTGGGGTCGGAGTGCTGTCGGCACAGGTACTCCGCCGCCGCCTTGGCTGGGAACTCCGTTTCGCACACGTACCCGAAATCCCGGGCCAGGTGAACGGCTTCACCTACGAGCAGGACAGATCGACAGGCTGTGTCAACACCCGCGTGAAAGGGGAGCGCTTTCTGTAGCCATGTGGCTTATTTCTGCTGGGGCTGGAGCACTTCCCTCTCTCAATCGCCACCCAAGAGCTCTCTGGGTGACAGGGGTGTTTCTCACTTGGACGCTTCCCTTGCTGCATCTTTATCTCCCTACTCCTTCCAAAATTTCCTGCTTGGCCTCTCCAAATCGAGCAGAGATTTAAACGGGAGCTGGAGGGTGCAAAAAGCGACCTTAGCCCCGTGACTGCTAGGCAAGACGGGGGTGTGAGAAATGGGCAGAAGGAAGGGGGTTACACCCTCCCGCAGCGCGCGCGGGCCCTCGGGCTGGACGCGCAGGCAGCGTATCCATCACCCCGTGGAAATGCCCACCCATTGACGGAATTGATCTGGCTCCAGGCGTCCCCGCGGAAATAATCAGAGCTGATGGCAATTGATCATGCCCAACGCCCAAAATCCTGGTCGGGCAGGCAGAGCTAATTTGACTTGCCCCCCTGCTGCTCATACATATTAGGCCATCCATCCTCATAGCATTAACCTAGATCCCATCGCAGTCTCCCCAGCTCCCGGAGCTCAGTCTGCGAAGCCATGTTACGGGGAAAGTGTCTGTGCTTCCCGTACAACGATAATACTTTCCACTTTATCTCCTCCTCCAAAGAAGGAGCAAACAAGGTAAACCTAGAGGATCGGAACTGCGGTTGTTTGTATGTTAAAAAAACAATCAGAAAGTAATAGCTGCTGCAAAACAGTTATTGTGACAATAAAAAGGGCTGTGTGACCTCACGGCGAGACCCAAGGCTGGAGCCAGGATTTATTCCCTCCATGAGCGTGCGTGAGTGGCTGCACAGCTGAGTGTTTTAAAGGCAATTTGGATGCTGGCTTAGAGAGGTTTCAGCGGAGGGGACGAGGCGGTCCGGCTTTTGAAAGCGGTGTTAAAGCCACACCAAGTCAGAGCGCGGGGAGGAGAGGCTGGAGGAGAGCGCTCGTGGGGCCACGGCAGGCAGAGGGGCCACGGGAGCCTGTCGGAATGCACCCCACTTTCTGAGAGCTTAAGGAAGTTTCTGAAGTTGAAATATAGCCCTGCTGCTCCCCTGGGTCCGTGCTGGAGCTGCTGCCCCGGAGCAGGTGCCCAGGAGAGGCGGGGGATCCCAAAGGAGCCGTGTTTCCACCTGCAGCCCTCGTCGTGCTCCCCGGCACCCACTCTCCCCCATCTGTATGAATGGCTGCGCGTCAGTGTAAGAAAAAGTACATCATTAGCACTCGAAAAAACACCCAGTGGTTTTTTAAATGAACAGATATTGGGAAGGCAGAGGGGAGAAAACAAATTAGACCAAGACAGCAAATGCCCAAGAAGGAGGGTGCCTGGGGCACAGGGGCACGAGCCCGTTGCTGCGTGCTGAGCACTGACAATGCCACAGCACCTTCCTCCGGGTGAGACGTCCCCGGTGCCGCAACGCGTGCGTGCAGGAGGAAACGATCCCCATCCCGCGCGCATGGCACCGCGCTTTTATGCACTACAAGCTGGTAAGCGGTAACCAAAGCATCAGCAGCCACCTGAAATCAAAATGTACATTTCTTCCTTCCTTTCTTTCTTTCATTCTTTTCTTTCTTTTCTTTTAATGGAAATCAGCCTTTCATCCAGCACGAACCAACTGCCCTCAGTAACAACCTCCGCCTAATGAAGCGGGTCATTTAATTTGCTGGCAACAATGGAGATGATTTTCTATTCAGAAACTGCAGGCAGCTGCCTCCAACACGCTGGGCGCAAACACAATGGATTCCAAAGCTCGAAGGGAGTCGGAGCTGTCATTGCATTTGTTTGCGTCCCGCGTCCTTTTCTCCAAAGACGCAGTGGCGACATCACCATTTCCATAGTGCAAAAAGTAGGAGGGGAGCAAATAAACGCGCGGCTTTAAGCAGGGGCACCTCACACCTCGGGGCAGGTCGCACGCTGCCTGCCGAGGCTGTGGGTTTTCCATAGCTTAGCCTTTATCGGCACGCTCCGAGGACCGCTCCTACAGACCTCACCTCCACCTGCAAGACCCCAGAGCTGCGCGCATCTCGCGTGTCCCCTGGGGGCAGGACTCGGGTACCGGGCATCTCCTTCTTATGGGAGACAAGACACGGACCTGCGCGTGGGGATGGAGCCTCGACAGAAGAAGTCGACGCTGTCCGAGGGCGGCACGGTCGGCAGCACCTGAGCTGCGTCCTCAGTGGGCGCGCAGCGCTACAGAGCGGCTGCTCAGCTCTTGGCAGCTTCATTCAAGCTTTTTTTGTATTTGGTTTCTGTGGACCCGACTAAGCACTGTTAGAACTGTGTTCAAAAAACGGGTAGAACGGGCAGATGTGGCACTTGGGGACACGGTTCAGTCTGGTCTACCCTTGATTGGTTTAGTGTGGACTTGGTGGTGTAGGTTAATGGTTGGACTGGATGATCTTAAAGGGCTTTTCCAACCTAAACGATTCGATGATTCTATGACTCTATAACTAGAAGGGAATGGCACGCTCAGATACTGCCGAAAGGAGGCTCGCAGCCCTGTTCAGGCTGTGGATGCCTTTTCCCCATGGGCTATGACTGGTCTGACAGAAATGTCTGAGTTTCAGAAGCCAGACGTGCTTGAATCAGCATGGAGACTTACACGGGGTTATTTCCAGTCTCAGTCGGTGGTGACCACTGCATACTTTGTTTTAAGTGTTCTTGTTTGTAGAAAGCCGCAAATGAAGGGTATTGAAGTTTCGGCACTCCCATCCTCCGCGGGAGTGGAGAGCGACTCTTACCTTCCACGAGGGATGTCAGCAGGGTGACGTTGGCAGCTTTGCGCCTTCCTGCAGGTAGATTTAGTCCAATTTTCTCTAACCTTTCCCTTAAACAGCGACCTCCGTTTTTTGATTTTGCTCTGAAAAGAGAAAACAAGGAGGAGAAAAAAATTATAATGTAGTTAATGTTAAAATAACTATAACTAATCCCGGTTTAAGCTTTTAGGTTTGAAAGGAAAGGAGAAAAAGCAACAAAAATGCTACCCCCCAATATATCACACACCAGTAATTTCCCGTCCCTGTTACTCTGAGAGGTAGGAGCCGGTGCTGAACGCAACGCTCGCTTCGGCGTTACTCCCTGCATTGCAGCCCTGCGTCCTTGGGCTGTCCCAGGGCTCTCAGGAGCAGCTTACCTGCGGAGGACTCCGCCGAGGAGAGAGGCGTTGAGACACTCGGGGGGCGAGAGCCTCCGCTGCACCTCCCCGACCGTCACCTTGTACTTGGAGGTGGAGCTGAGAAGAGAGAGGCGGCCAGGCACCGAGCAGAAGACCTCGTTGGGATTCGTCACCCCTCCGATCAGGCCGTCTTTGTTCATTGACAGGGTGGAAATGCTGGTGCCGTTGGCCTTCGAGGGGATGGGCACTGGGAGACAAGGAAGGGAGAGAAGAGGAGACCGTGGCTGAGGG